TTATTTCCTTCTCAGGATTCTAAACTTGCCATTGTATGTGTAATAAATAGGCAGACTAGCCGATGAGTTGACCGTCTCACATAAAACTCTCACAGAATTTAATATTAAATAGAGATTCTGGTATCTTCTCCCCAAGGTGAAGTCATCGACGAGAAGGGCAGTTATGTTAATGATGATCTTTGGGGTGTTGCAGACGATGTACACAGCAGAAAGTAGCATTACCTGCTTGATGATGTTCGTGTCTTTTCTATCGACTTTAGAAGATTGTTGTGTTTTAGCGTCTCTTGTGTTAGTATCTGACAATTTATTTTCTGCATCACTAGTCTTGAAGGCTTGCCGAAATTTAAGAGAGTTTCTTAACTTGTTTGCCATAACAATAAGACATATAAGGACAATAATTTGAGTTGTAAATGGGAGGAAGATGTCCGTGAGGCCCCAGACACCACGTTTGATGGCCTCTCGATTTGGCGATAGCCATAGCGTCGTGCGACTCGTATTAACGCGGATATCAAACCCTTCTTTGAATCCCATGTTTACAACAACGGGAATACTAGTAGCCAATCCAAACGTTGCGAAAGTTAGCGTGCATACAAGCGTAGTCCTTCTGGTAAAAGTGTTTTTGAAATGAAGAGGTCTGGTTACACACATACACCGAGCAAGAGACACATATGTGGTTGTTAGTTCTGTTAGCACATAAAACATAATGCCGGTGTTGGTTAAAATAAGAGTCGTTCCGTACGGCTCCACCTGAAACCATCTATGGTATTCGCTCTGAACCTCAATTACATAAAAGATGGATGATGTCCCAACGCCAAACATGATCACAAGAAAGCCAAGATCTGAGAAAGATAGAACTAAAAATGCGATGCTCATGCCGTCTTCAAGTTTGGCTGAGGTGAAAGTTTTAATGTTAATAATGTTACCAATGATACCAAGAACTGAAATGCTCATCCATGAAATTGACAGAAACTCCATGAGTTTGGTGTACACATTGTTGTTTAATAAACTTTGAACTGTCTGAGCAAGGTGCAACGTAGTGTTCGTCATACTCGCTGATGTAGTGAACTGTACATGTTTAGAGAACTTGAATGACACGGGATACAAAGTCACAGCAATAGGAAACTAACAAGCTGATCCTGTAATATAAAGGAATTCAATATCACACAAAGTTGCAATCTATATTCGTTATCAAGTGAACACAAAATGTCAGCCAGTTAATTAATATGAAGTCAAGTGAACTAAATGGATGTGTGTGAATGTGTGCGAATGTGTGCGTATGTGTGTGTATGTGTATGTGTGTGTGTTGTCTCTCTCTCTCTCTGTATATGTATGTGTGTGTGTGTGTAAGTGTAAAATCGAGCGCAATAAATCCCGAAATATTGATGGGGAAAAAAAGGGGGGGCAACTATGGAATCAACGAATATTTTTATGTATTTTCAGACTGAAAAGGAAATATAAATACATTATTATTATTTTAAAAAAATGAGAACAGTCACTTGTTCTGTGTTTTTGTTTTGTTTTTCCTGTGTGCTTCTCGTCTTTCTCAACTACTTCTCTTCCCACTCCTTCTTATTAATCTTCGGCTTTTACACCTGTGTCGATGTCTGGGGTTTAGGCGTTTAGGCGTTGCAAACGCGCATTGTAATGCCGAGGTGCCTGGTTCTATCTCAGCTGCGGGCCTTCTGCCTTGTGTTGGTTTCGACAGTGGCATTGAGAAGACGACCGTCCAGAAAGCAATGGCAAACTACTGGACTTAAATTTGCCTAGAAAAACCACAGCAGCAAAAAAAAAAAAAATGCTGTAGTTAATTCTGCAACGTCCTGTGCAGGATACGCAACTAACTTTTTAACTTGTCAAACCTGTAGACAGTTATCGTAATCCTGACTGGCTCTTCCTAAATTTGAAGTAGATGCACAAGTGCATTGCTTATATAAATGTATCAGTACTAACTAACAGGACAGATTAGTAACGTTGTAATTTTTGGTATAATTGTATCCTGAATATTCTAACTAATGCACTCTACAGTCGTGATCCATCGTCTACGAATAAGGATGCTCATGCGGAAATTAATCCAGCTAATCAAAAATAACATTTTCCTGCAACATAATGTCAAATTCATAAAACAGTCCAAACACAGAGTTGATGTATAGTGTAAACATGTAGCACCATACGCTTGTTAGTTCACTCTTAAGCTACACGAAAGCAAACAGTTCAACAACCAATAAGTGTGTGTACTCAGGGTACAAGAGAAAGACTGGTTAAGGTTATGTCATCATGTCTTTATTATCTTTATCCACAGCCTGTTCTTTATTTTATACCTAGTCGATTAGGATAATAGCCCCGCCTATATTTAATGAAGCATTAATTACTTTATGTTTACCAGCCCAGTGTTCTAACAGCGGAGATTTAAACAAATTTTGACAAATTAATTTGTCATTTTAGCTTCAGAAAAATCATACATTCGGCAGCTAGGGTTTCAAAAATCGTTTTGCTTCACTAGTGTACTTTTGTCATGCACTGTGTAAGTTTGTTCCTTACAAAAGTTACCTTACTGTTCTTTAATTTATCAACATGCACATTCTAGTATATTCAGTTACTATAAAACAACTACATGTGTATTATTTTAGTAAACAATTTCTACATGAATCGATTTCTGTCTTTTTTCTCAATTAAACACGCTGTGTAGGTTCCAGGGCCCCATGGGGGAAAATAGGAAGGAAGAGGGGGGGGGGGGGCCTAGAGAATAGTCATTTTAACCGTCTAACATGTCAGTAGGACAGTTGATCATAATTACAAGCTTCTATAATGATTTTAGACGCATTGATATTTGTGAGCTTAACATAAGATCCTGAAAATGAAAAACAGCTTTACAACATCGAATGCAAAGTTATTGGGAAACGACGAGGCAGATAGTAGATGGACTCCGTCAGCAGAGTCTCAATTTTCAAAACAAAGAGGAACAAGCATTTTTGGAGTGCACATTCGTTGATAACAGTAAATTATCTTTTAAAAAATGTCTTTCTTACGAGCTTATCAATGTAGGATGACTGGGCAGTCTCACAGTATTCGTGATCTAAATTGCGGCCCTTAACACCTTATAGGTCCTGACACATGCGATTGCTTTTGATAGGGGTCGATACGATGTTACGGTTGGACAAGTGTGGTCAATACACCGTGGATTGATCGATTGGGGCATAAGTGACTACATCCCATGATATATCATGACACCAATTTTAGTGTGGTTTAACCTTGGTGCCATTGTCAATATCACACAAATCCGTGTCAACGCGGATCTGATTCTGGGGCCTGACAGCAGAATTGAATCGACGGCCTCCCAGCAGATTCGAATATAAGGCCTGCTAGCAGATTTTAATCTAAGTTCTGCCAGCAGATTCTAATCTGCCTCCCATCGGATTCAAATCTGAGGCCTTCCATCAGGTTCGAATCTAAGTCCCGCCAGCAGATTCGAATCCAGGTCTCCCATCAGATTAAAATCTAAGGCCATCCCAGCAGATTCGAATCTCTCGAATTAGATTCGAATCTAATGCTTCCTAGCAGATTCGAACCTAAGCCCTCAAATCTAAGGTTTCCCTGCAGATTCGAATCTAAAGCCTCCCAGGAGATTCGAATCTAAGGCCCAGCTGGGGATTCAGATCTAAAGTCTACGGAGCTGCGAAGCACTAAGGACTTGTAAATCCATTGAATAAGTGATCAGCGAAATTCCGGATAAGCAGTTGAGTAGAGGGTCTTGCATTCAGAAATGCATGTCTGTAGTAATGAACCTGCTTGATGAGAAGAATATAATCTGCAAAATCGAGATCTTCTAAATGTGTGTTCGCCACCCATTGTGGATTTTTCTTGTTGTGTAATTTGTGTAAATATTTTTAGGCTGCATTCATGAAAAAAAAAAAAAAAAAAAGAACGAAAAACCAATCTCATTAGAATGTAAAAGTTTTTTAATTTACGCCTCAAGGTATGTCTGTGTTTCATGGTAATTTGCAAATACGACTTCCCAATAAAAATCCCAACAGACCCATTGGCACCTCAAACGGTTATGACACTACCAAATCCCGATCTACAGATATAATTTAAATATGTCTATGTGGGCCAGACAACAGTGTTAATATTTCAATCATAGTCTGCATTTATCAGAAATGATCATTATGTGTTTTCTTCCATGTTCTAAAATTTCTAATCCGATTTTTAAAAAAAAATTATAAAAAAAAAAACAAGGTAACATGTGTCCTAAAACAGGTAATGCAGATGTGGTGTGAAGATTAGGTATTGACATTTATTATCATTTTTCCATTCCCCTACATATGAGGTAATCAGTACTTTTTCTCGTCGCCTTTTACTCCAAGACAATTCCCAGAAAATGCAATTTATTTGTTTACAGTAAATGTATTAAGTAACACAGTATAGGTCTCTAGTTCTTAGTATTTTTCTCAAGTAACATAAATAATTTTTTCTCTATCCCAATATGAACTGTGATCATATTTGCCTTCAAGAGTCGATATAGATGGTCCCCGTATGGGTTCCATTATGGGTGGAAGAGAATAGACCCACCGCCACTAACAAGTATGTCGTAGAAGTCGATTAATTATTGGTATTTCTTTTGGGCAATGCAAGGATTGAACAGCCTTAAAAGTCTATGGTTAAACACCAGCAAGGAGATAAAAATTAGAATTTTGAGAGCATGCATCTTCCCTGTGGCTACATACGGATGTGAGTCGTGGACTATCTCTCAGTTCTTAAAAAAGAGAATAGGGGCTTTTGAGCTGAAATGCTATAGAAAGATTCTCAGAATATCTTGGATTAAGAAGAGGAGAAATATTGACATCTTAAAAGATCTGAACATCAAGGAAGATTGGCTAATAAACTGTATCCTTTCTCGGAAGCTGAAATATTTTGGTCATATCAAGCGCCACAACGGATTGGAAAAAAACTATAGCAGAAGGCATAGTACCATAAAGGATGGGCAGGGGCCGACCGACACGAAGACGGGCACAGGATATAAGTGACTCCTTGAGTATGAAAGTGCATGAGGCGAGAGAACTGGCGAGAGACCGAGTTTCTTTCAGGCAAACTGTGATGAGAGCGACGTTCTGCAAAGGACCTGCTACATGATGATGATGATTTCCTTTGGGTGCATCTGCATAGGAGGCAACAAACCAAAAGTCTGCATACAAACAAGACAAGTCTGAAAAACTGATGTGCACACAAAACTCAAGTTATAAGTGACTCCTTGAGTATAAAAGTGCATGAGGCGAGAGAACTGGCGAGAGACCGAGTTTCTTTCAGGCAGACTGTGATGAGAGCGACGTTCTGCAAAGGACCTGCTACATGATGATGATGATTTCCTTTGGGTGCATCTGCATAGGAGGCAACAAACCAAAAGTCTGCATACAAACAAGACAAGTCTGTAAAACTGATGTGCACACAAAACTCAAGTTCTAGAACAAGACTTAAGTCCAGAAGTGAAGGAACAACCAAAACTTTCTGCTGGAGTTTTTAGCTGGCGAACGCGAAAAAGAAGAAGATAGGAGCTGGTTTCCGATCGCTATTTCAGATTTATTTGAAAATCACCTTTGTAGTTCGTAGCGACTGCACTAGCTATGCAGCCCTAAATCCTCAGGCTCGTGACAACCTAAAAAAAGGCTAAATAAGGGCATTAAAGACAGTTATTACAAATAATTTAGGCAGTGTGAAAATGGAACGGGGGGGGGGGGGGCGGGAAGGAATGTTTTGGATTAAAACAGTTGTCAACTGCAACGTTACTGTTTTTTTTTTTTTTTAATATTTTCAATATACTTCTGTGCGTCATCTAAGCTTACGAAACGCTGCCTATAAATACGTTCTAATAAACTGAGAACCTCGAATATATCTAAACGCTTTATCCAGTATAAAAAGGAAAATCTGATCTTCGTATTTAAACTTCGAATTTTTGGATCGGGTAATATTAAACTGTCTTTTGTTTCTTTCTCATTATTATCATAAAGAAATAGTTCTCATGAAAAAAAAACATCAGTTTCATTTCTCGCTTCAAG